CTAACACACCGTATATTCCTTAGGCGCTCACACATAACACATACTACAGCATCATATTTGCTATAAGAAAATATTTCACTCTCTCTCACTCGTGCTCTATTTACAAACATTTAACATTCTAATCATGTCTCAAATTATATATTTAATTATTTTTTCAAAATATTTTTCGTTTCGTTATAACAAACAACTTGTTTTCTGAGGAAGATTTGAAGTTAGAGGAACAAGTATTTGACTGAAGAGTAGAAAAAAACAGAACACACACACAAACAACTATTGACAATGAGGATGCAATGCTGTGACGCAAAGTGATAACGTAACTGATATGACGACAGAAAAAAGTTTTTCAAAGGCATGTTCTGATATCTTTTTTGGTTGGTTGTCAGTTTTTTGTTTGAAAGTGACATGTTGTTAGTAGTAGTTGTTGTTACGGTTGTTGAAGAACATCTGTCATCTGAAAAGTAAATCTCTTTTAATACCGACAATAGTAGTTTTTTAGTTGGAATTTCGTTTACGTTTTTGGTCATATGGGATTATGCTCTAGTACGTTGAAGAATATCCTCAGATTATCTCTTGAGCAGGTAGTAGGGCTCATGGCTGAGAATATTAAGAAACGATGAAAACGTTTGAAATTTGAATTTATATATAAATAAATTCTTTGAAAAATAGTTTAGTGAAATAAATCATTTCACATCCTAAGAACTAAGCCAGTTAGTTTTGTTTTGTTCAGCTACACGTCGTATCGTCAATATATGCTGTCAGCCACTACGGCCAAAACGGCTGGAGTTAGAATTTTTCAATGTGCTATGGCTGGATTTTGGGATATTCGAAACACAATAGTATGAACTCAAAATTGTGATATTTACATTTGACATACATTTCCAACAACTCGTCGAATTGATGGCTAGCTTCATGAAATATGGTATAATGATTACTGCTGGTGTTTGGAATTGAAGTAAGAGACGATCTTAAATATTAAAATATAATAAATATTAAAAATACCGCAAATCGGGGGTATCATTATATGGGCGCTAGTTCTATAGTAACTTCAGTACGTTGCGAAAAATATTGTTGTTGTCTTTGGTACACCATTTATTTAAAATCTGACAAAACTGTATATGGGGTCATATTTAAATCTGAACCAAATACGAATACCAAATACCAAAATACAGCGAATTCTGTTTCTGCAGGCGCTCAAACTCCTAATAATATCGAAAATTTGGGGGTGCCACCAAAAAATTGGACCATATTTATAATTAAGCACAACTTACACAACTTAAATGCTCTACCACCCCCCAAAATACCGAAAACTGGGGGGTAGCGTTATATGCGGGCTACCCGAAAAAGTGGACCCATATTTATAATTTTTAGTGGAGAGATTTGATACTCCATAAGAAGCCAATGTTAGAATTACAGCGAATTTGATTAAAAAATGCGCTTAAAACGCACGTAAGTGGTCCATAGAAAAATTACCTTTATATGGAACAAGCATTTGGCCGCAACTTCGTTAGCGAATGTGGGAACACAATTTAAATTTTATTATGTTCCTTTATAGTACGTATTTCCAAAAGTACCTCCACATCTCATCTTTTGTATACATTTCCATAATTTTTCACAATCCTACACCCAAACAGTGACCCTGTCAGGATTCCAGCTCCATTTGAAAATTTGTGCCAAATATAGTGCCGTTTAGTACTTTTCATATACATGACTACACACTTCCGAAACCATCTCCCTATATCGATCCTACTTCTCAATCTTAATTCGCATTCCAAATTTCCAAAGTTTTTAGCTCTATCCATTCACATGATGCGAAACTATACCAAATTTAGTATGTTTTAGTACCATTCGGATACTTATAGTTCGAATGACCAAAAACCCTTTTCTACATCTAATCTGCACTCCATCAATGACCCTCAATCAAAATTTCCTCCGAAACCCAAAATATCAAAACTTTTTTACGTTTTCCTTTATGGCTTTCGAATGGGTTATTTTTATACCCTTCACCACACTGTGGTACAGGGTATTATGTCTTTGTGCATATGTTTGTAACAGGCAAAAGGACGCATGGTTCCTTTTGAAAATTTGCATAGAATCACTTTCTAAGTCGACTTATGCATGTCCGTCCGTCCGTCTGTCCGTTTATCTGTCCATGTTAAATTGTAAACAAAGTACAGGTCGCATTTATGATCCGATTTGGATGAAATTTGGCACAGCTCATTTGTTTGGCCCAAGGATGAACCCTATTGAAATTGGGAAAATCGATTGAGATTTAGATATAGCTCCCATATATATTTTCGTCCGATATAGGCACCAAAGTACCTATACATCTTTCGATTTGCACGAAATTTGGCATAAAGTACTGAATTGAGCCTAAACTGATGTCTGCCAAGTTTCGAGAAAATCGGTCCTGATGTAGATATAGCTCCTATATATACTTTCGTCCGATTTCATGTAAATTGTGCACCGAAGTCCCTATATATCTTTCGATTTGCACGAAATTTGGCATAAAGTACTGAATTGAGCCTAAACTGATGTCTGCCAAGTTTCGAAAAAATCGGTCCAGATGTAGATATAGCTCCCATATATAGTTTCGTCCGATTTCATGTAAATGGTGCACCAAAGTCCATATATATCTTTCGATTTGCACGAAGTTTTGCATACTGTACTGAATTGAGCCTAGAGTGATATCTGCCATGTTTCGTGAAAATCGGTCCAGATTTAGATATAGCTCCCATATATATTTTCGTCCGATTTCATGTAAATGGTTCACCAAAGTCCACATATTACTTTCGATTTGCATGAAATTTGGTATAACGTACTGAATTGATGTTGGAATGATGTGTGTTGAGTTTCGTGAAAATCGCTTCAGATCTGGATATATATATATTTTTGTCCGATTTAATGTATCTCCCTATATCGATCCTACTTCTCAATCTTAATTCGCATTCCAAATTTCCAAAGTTTTTAGCTCTATCCATTCACATGATGCGAAACTATACCAAATTTAATATGTTTTAGTACCATTCGGATACTTATAGTTCGAATGACCAAAAACCCTTTTCTACATCTAATCTGCACTCCATCAATGACCCTCAATCAAAATTTCCTCCGAAACCCAAAATATCAAAACTTTTTTACGTTTTCCTTTATGGCTTTCGAATGGGTTATTTTTATACCCTTCACCACACTGTGGTACAGGGTATTATGTCTTTGTGCATATGTTTGTAACAGGCAAAAGGACGCATGGTTCCTTTTGAAAATTTGCATAGAATCACTTTCTAAGTCGACTTATGCATGTCCGTCCGTCCGTCTGTCCGTTTATCTGTCCATGTTAAATTGTAAACAAAGTACAGGTCGCATTTATGATCCGATTTGGATGAAATTTGGCACAGCTCATTTGTTTGGCCCAAGGATGAACCCTATTGAAATTGGGAAAATCGATTGAGATTTAGATATAGCTCCCATATATATTTTCGTCCGATATAGGCACCAAAGTACCTATACATCTTTCGATTTGCACGAAATTTGGCATAAAGTACTGAATTGAGCCTAAACTGATGTCTGCCAAGTTTCGAGAAAATCGGTCCTGATGTAGATATAGCTCCTATATATACTTTCGTCCGATTTCATGTAAATTGTGCACCGAAGTCCCTATATATCTTTCGATTTGCACGAAATTTGGCATAAAGTACTGAATTGAGCCTAAACTGATGTCTGCCAAGTTTCGAAAAAATCGGTCCAGATGTAGATATAGCTCCCATATATAGTTTCGTCCGATTTCATGTAAATGGTGCCCCAAAGTCCCTATATATCTTTCGATTTGCACGAAGTTTTGCATAATGTTCTGAATTGAGCCTAGAATGATGTCTGCCATGTTTCGTGAAAATCGGTCCAGATTTAGATATAGCTCCCATATATAGACTCGTCCGATTTCATGTAAATGGTGCACCAAAGTCCACATATTACTTTCGATTTGCATGAAATTTGGTATAACGTACTGAATTGATGTTGGAATGATGTGTGTTGAGTTTCCAGAAAATCGATCCAGATTTAGATATAGCTCCCATATATATTTTCGTCCGATTTAATGTAAATAATGTACCAAAGTTCTTATGTAGCATAGCGTACTGAATTTAATCCAGAATTATGTCTTAGTATAAACTAAGCTGTGAAAAATTTCGTTGAAAACGGTTCATATTTGGAAATAGCTAAGTAAATTGTGCATCAAACTCCTCATGTTTGTCAGATTGACATCAAATTTTGCACAACGTACAAAATTGAGCATAGAAAAACGTAGTTGCGTTTTCTAGAAGTACAGCCATAGCATAAAGTATGAACTATTGATATTTGTTTGAAGTCGAACAACAACAAACGAATAACATGTTTATGGATAGATCTAGGTCGATTCACATTTAGATAAATATCACATATTTTATCCAATTGCATGATAATAGTCCTGATTAATAAGTGGTGAAGGGTATCATATAGTCGGCCCCGTCCGACTTTACTGCTTTCCTTACTAGTTTTTCACAGTCAAATATCTGCAGTATGTTCCCCTGCCGAAATTCCCATTTATGAGAGTATGTTAAAATTATGCTAAGCGGATGGAGAATTTAAGCAGTCGCAGTTAACATTTATATGAAATAATCTTCAAACACGAAATTACTTACTATCGATTCAAATAAAGATTTCATGTATTTCCCAGAATTTTTCTTAGCTCATAAAAAGTCTTATTTTGTTCACCATGGCGTATTATACATATTTACGGTAATCATACGTTGCGGTGTCCTATGCCACATGAATACGATCATGTTTTTACATAAATTAAAATAAATATTTTTTTTTCGAATTATAAAATTTCTATTTTTAATGTCACCGCAAACACATAGGTAAATAATGTTCCTTTTCTACTGCAACGCTTACAACTGCAATCTAATTTTATTTTCCATTTTAATTTAAAAACAAATTCTTCTTAAAGATTATCCCCCGCAAAAACTTACCTCATAAAAATAGAACGAATTCAAATTATCATCGTCCTCCATCATACCCGTTACGCTGGTTGTGTTATTCCTGCTGTTTCCATTGCCATTGCCACTGACAAATACCGTGGGCAGGAGATCACCTTCAAAGAACACAGATCCTGTTGAGGGTAACATCGTTGTGGGTGTTGATGATGATGATGACGATGCACTGGACGAGGTCATTGCATAGCTGATGTTTAGCGGGTAGGAAGAAGAAGCTGGAGTCGTCGGTGGTAGAGATGCTGCTGCTGATGCAATCATGGCTGCACCACTGCCCACCCTGCTGCTATTGACCAATGTTGAGGTTACAGCTGTTACTGCTGACGTTGTTAACAACATGTAGGGGGAACGTGTTGAAGTAATGGCATTACTGGCAGCTGTTGCTGATGTTTTCATTGGGGTTGCAAGAATTTGTGAAATGACCGGTGTAATGGTATATGACGATGGGAATGGGGCATTCGATGTTGTTGTTGTTGTTCCCACATTATTGGCGTTGTTCAGTTGAGTGTTAAAACGTTGCTGCTGAACATTGTCATCCGCTACCATTTTGAATTGTTTATCGCGTGTTGTTCGTTGTTGTCGTCGTCGCTGTAGTTGTGGTTGCAGTTGTTGTTGCTGTTGTTTTTGTTTCTGTGGTTGCGAATAGTTTGTGTGGAGAAGTGTTTGTTGATACAAGTCTGTTGTTGGTCGTGGTATTTTCAACCATTGGTCATTGTGATGTGGTTTTGGTGTCACTGGTGCCTCAGCGTAGTTAAACATGGTATTTTCCCGTGAGTAGTTATTTGATATCCTAGTGGAACGTTTTGATATCAAGTGAGCATATAATTTTGGGAGAAACGATTTTTGTTGCTGATTTTCTAATGCTTTCAAAAAATTTGAATATTTTTTGTCGTTGTAATAGTGAGTAATGAGGTCTGGACGTGTGTACTGTACTGTTGTTAGGCTTAGCAAAAGACAGTTTGATTGGAAACCAAGCATGGTGTCATTCTTTGGTCCAAACAAATTTCTTCAATTGGGAAGAACGATTTTTGGAATCTGCAAATATGGAGAGAAAGAAGGATTTAGATATTATAAAAATGGAAAGGAAAGAAGTCGGAAAATATTAATAATATTAACAATCAAATAGGCGTGGATTTATGAAAATATATTATACAATGAAGAGTGGACTTAAAATAAAACAAAACTCTAAGACAGTAAGGCGTGGATTAGAAGAAAATCTAAAACCATAAGCCGTTAATTGTTATTTTCATTTTAAGACCATAAGGAGCTGATTTTAATGTCATAAGTCTTGGATTTATAAAACTAATAACATAAGACATTAATTAAAAAAAAGCAGTAAGTAAAGTAAAGTCGGACTGGGCCGACTATATGACACTCTTCACCACTTTGGGTATATTGTACATATGTATCCTAACAATATCGAAATCTGAACCGATTTTCCCGAAACTTACCACACATCGCTCTAGACTCGATTCAGTATGATATGCCAAATTTCGTGCAAATCGTAGGCTATATAGGGACTTTGGTTCACCATTTACATAAAATCGGACGAAACTATATATGGGAGTTATATCCAAATCTCAACCGATTTTCACAAAACTTAACACATATCACTCTTGACTGCATGCAGTACGCTATGCCAAATTTCGTGCAAATCCAAGGATATGTAAGGACTTTGGTGCACCATTTACATAAAATCGGTCGAAAATATATATGTGAGCTATATCGAAATCTGAACCGATTTTCACGAAACTTAACACACATCACTCTTCACTTCATGTTGTACGCTATGACAAATTTCGTGCAAATCCAAAGATATATAAGGACTTTGGTGCACCATTTACTTAAAATCGGACGAAAATATATACGCGAGCTATATTTAAATCTGAACCGAATTTCAGGAAACTCGACATACATCATTCTAAATCTAATTAAGTACACTATGCCAAATTTCGTGCAAATCGAAAGATATATAGGGACTATATATGGGAGCTATATCGAAATCTGAACCTATTTTCACGAAATTTAACACACTTCGTTCTAGACCGAATTCAGTGCGCCACGAAAAATTTCGTGCAAATCGAAAGATATATAGGGACTATGGTGCATCATTTATCTTAAATCGGTAAATGGGAGCTATATTTAAATCTGAACCAAATTTCATTCTAGAAATAATTCAGTACGCTTTGCCGAATTTCGTGCAAATCGAAAGATATATAGCGAATTTGGTGCAGCATTTACATTAAATCGGTCGAATATATATGGGAGCTATATCTAAATCTGAACCGATTATTCCCAATTTCAATAGGGTTGGTCCTTGGGCCGAATAAGTGACCTGTGCCAATTTTCATTAAATTCGGATCATAAATGCGACCTGTAATTTTACAATTTAACACAAACGGACATGCATAAATCAACTTAGAAAGTGATTCTATGCATATTCTCAAACGGATCCATGTGTCTATGTCGTTTCCTTTTGCCTGCACAAAAATATAATACCCTGTACCACTGTGTGGTATAAAAATCGATTAGTCGAAAGTCGATTTACTTATCGCTAGTCAAACCTTGCCTTAGGTACTAATGGATGATATAAGTGTGAATGATTGTTGTCACAACGTATACGTCGTAGACGTATGGCGAAGTCCAAGCTTATCTTGGTCCCTCTTTCATCTCAATTGTTGACACCTCCCCCCGGTGCCACCAGGGAGCTATTCTCATCACCCGATGAAATAGTGAGCTAATATGTGCCGCGAGTTCACCCACAAGAACTATAAAAAATTGGGTTGAGGCGTCGGAATAGTTGCCCACTCTCGGCAGCCAAAGCGGGGAGAAAAGGAGAGAGGAGAAACGTGTTTTTCGAAAAAAGAAGAAAGAACAAGAAAAACGTGAGCGTGAGCAAATCGAGATGTACAGGAATCAGAATGAAGTCCGGAAATTTCACCAACGAGTAAAACGCCAACATCCTTCTGTGGAGATGAAGAAGGAAACCAGACAGCGTGTTGAGGATCTGGAAGGAGCATTTCGAAAAGCTTCTAGTATCAAATAGTGGCGATGACGAAGATACCCCAGAACCAATAAGAGATTATGGTATAGAGTGTATACCACCTAGCCAAGATGAGGTCATAAAATCAATTCATCTACTCCAGAACAACAAAGCAGCAGGAGCCGGTGGGTTACCAGCCGAACTATTCAAGACTGGTGGCCAGATGCTGGTCAGGAGCATACACCAATTGATTAGCACACTTTGGCTAGATGAATGCATGCCCAATGATTGGAACCTCAGCATCCTGTGTCCCGTGCACAAAAAAGGAGACAAGACGATATGTGCCAACTATAGAGGTGGCACAAGGTCAGCAGTTAAACTAGAAAAGGACCTATCGGAGCCCTTCAATACCGAACGAGGATTCAGGCAACATCACAGTTTGTCGTGTGATCTTTTTAACATCCTGCTGGAAAAGGTCACACGAGACACAGACGTGAACAGAAATGGCATTCTGTACACCAAACAACACATGTTACTCGCCTACGCCGATGACATCGATACATTGCGAGCGGTAACAGCCACCTTTGAACAAATTGAAAAGGAGTCTGTCATAGTGGGTCTGGCAGTAAACGGTGAGAAGACCAAGCTGATGGTATCAACGCGCAAGACGTCCAATAGACTCGGACCAACTGTGGAACTTGAGAACTACAGCTTCGAGGTAGTTAAAGACTTTATATACCTTGGTACCGTCATAAATAAAACGAATGACATCAGTTTTGAAATTCGGAGAAGGATTGTGATGACCAACAGATGCTACTATGGTCTAAGTAAGCAGTTTAGAAACAAGGCCACCTCCCGCCCGACCAAAGTCACACTTTACAAGACGCTGATACTGCCCGTGCTATTATATGGGTCAGAAGCATGGATACTTGCGCAAGCAGATGAGGCAGCTCTTGGGGTGTTTGAAAGAAAAATTCTCCGAAAGATCTACGATCTGCGTCGACGGTGAATATCGGCGTCGAATGAACCACGAGCTTTACAATTTATACGCGGACATCGACATAGTCAGTCGTATTGAGCTGCAGCGACTACGATGGCTAGGTCATGTTGTGCGGATGAATGAAAATGCCCCAGCTCAAAAGGAATATAAAAACGAGCCTACTGATGGATCCCGTAGAAGGGGAAGGCCCCGAATTAGATGGAAAGACCAAGTAGAAAACAACATCTTTGAACGTGGTCTTCCAAATTGGTGGACTAGCGCACAAGACCGACGCGGTTGGAAATCTTTTTTAAGCTCGGCTTATGGAACAACCGTTCTGTAACAAGCCAGCTAAGTAAGTATGCGTATGCATGGAGAAGGGGATTGGTCCAAAGAATAAGCATGCCTATTTTGATAAGGATTAATCAATATTTGGCGGGTCAAATGGACCCTGACTTTTGTGTGAAAAATGACAAAATTTGTATGGTATGGCGTATATATTTGCTCCTGAAGGGCCTAGACCCGAGAAATTGGCCATATGTTGAAGAGGAGTGGTTGACCTTTAAATTGATACCAATTATATGGTCGTATGTGCTCAGATGTGGGAGTTACACGTAAATATTTACAGGTGCTTGCGTATTTAGATATTATTTAGTAACCCATTACCACACTAGAAGGCGGAAATATAGCGCTGATCGCTTGGAAATTTTCCATTAGATTCCAGTTATGGTCCAGGACAACGCCTATAATTTTCGGTGATGATCAGATAATAATTTTGGGATGAAGTGGACCGAAAACTTATTTTTTTGGGTGTTTCTTCGATTCGACCCATAGGCTACAATTGAAAGCCCAACATCGCAACATAACCCACGGTAAAGAGAATCTGGACAAGTACAGTCCCCGTCTACTGAATATTAGAATATTACAATTAGATCGCGAAATATTGGCAAAGCTCTGAATATAGAACCATAGAAAGTTAGATTTTCGTGGAAGTTGTGTAGGGTATCATATGGTCGGCCCCGTCCGACTATACTGCTCCGCTCACTGGTTTTTTTATAAATTTTATTTTTATAATCTGTTTTAAAAATTGTTAAAGTTTAAAAATAAAAATTCCCTTTATCCTTTGTCAAGACTGTTTACGTCAATGATGATGCCATTACCTAGATTAAAATTATATATATTTATTTTTTTTTTACTTTAAAAATAGCCCTCTCAAAAGGACATTAGCCAAGAGAACAAGAAACAAAAGGACAACAGAAGTACATTTCGATGATATTCAATTACAGACAACACAGATTATTAACCTCTATCTCCAAATCAATTCGTTTGTGTGTGTGTGTTTTTTTCATTTCCACTTAGATCATTCAATATTATTGGTCCTTTGTGATTGTGTCACATAATATCCTCATAATGAGACATGGCTATTAGAAATATTGCAGAAAAAAATAAATGCTGGTATTTAAGGGTATCGAACACAAAAAAAAAAAAAAAATAAGTAGGCGTTTGTTATTCGATTGAAAAATATATCGAAATGATCTGCTTGTCTTTAATAATTCGTGAGTGTGTGCGTGTGAGTATTAATAGATTATTTTCGATAGCATTGAATTATTTATTGATTGTGACCATATCCCAAAAATGGCCATTTAAGTGGTCATGGAATGCGTTTTTTACTACATTTTTATACCCTCCACCATAGTATGGAGGGTATATTAATTTTTTCATTCCGTTTGTAACACATCGAAATATTCATTTCCGACCCTATAAAGTATATATATTCTTGATCAGGGTAAAATTCTA